AGATGTCACACTTTCTAAGAATTTAGAAGCAACTAAATCATGGTAATCTTGATAAAAGTTGAAGATAAATTTAGATGCAATAAAAAATTGTGACTTTGTGTACTTTGAAAGCTAAAAGCTTAGTTCTGAAATTCTTTCAAAGTTATGATGTTATGATCATATTTTTTGAGAAAATGACAAGAAATGATTTATATATTGCTTGAGATTGAGCACTAAAAAAGATTAAAATCACCCTTTGATTCAAGTCAAGAGTAATGGGTATGCTTCTATTCGAATGAGAAAATAATTTGAATCAAGAACTTAAAATCTAAAATATTCCCATTTGATTCAGCCACGGATTGGATTCAAATATTTATATGATTTGAATCATGTTGATAGAACCAAAGTCCAAGATTTGAAATGAATATTTTGTTTGAATCAGTCTTTGGCTTGAGTTGAATTAAGCTTGCTTCTCATTCAAGTTAGAGAAGCTTGTGATTTAAATCACACTCGTAGTGGAAAAAATTGAATTTCATATTCATTTATTAATTCGAATCATGAAATTGTGACTTTGTGTACTTTGAAACCTAAAAGCTTAGTTCTGAAATTCTTTCAAAGTTATGATGTTATAATCATATTTTTTGAGAAAATGACAAGAAATGATTTATATATTGCTTGAGATTGAGCACTAAAAAAGATTAAAATCACCCTTTGATTCAAGTCAAGAGTAATGGGTATGCTTCGATTCGAATGAGAAAATAATTTGAATCAAGAACTTAAAATCCAAAATATTCCCATTTGATTTAGTCACGGATTGGATTCAAATATTTATATGATTTGAATCATGTTGATAGAACCAAAATCCAAGATTTGAAATGAATATTTTGTTTGAATCAGTCTTTGGCTTGAGTTGAATTAAGCTTGCTTCTCATTCAAGTTAGAGAAACTTGTGATTTAAATCACACTCGTAGTGGCAAAAATTGAATTTCATATTCATTTATTAATTCGAATCATGCATATTCTTGCTTTGAATCACACTTTTAACAAAATTTATTTTAATAAAAATCAAGTATTTTATTGAATCTAAGGCTAGTATGATAAGAATCATGAATTCATGGGTTTCTTGACTCAGATAATCGACTAATTTAACTTGAACCACTTTGCCATGACTTTTATCACAATGTTCAATTTAATGTATGCAAAACACGATTTAATAAAAAATATGATTTAATAATATCACTCAATTTAAAGATATGTGCAAAACCTAAATTATAGGAGATTTAATAACCAAAAACAATAATAACTAAGATAATAAATAAGACAAACAGCAAAGGCGAAACCTAGAGGGGCAGAACGACTTCAGTCTAGAATAGAACCAGAGACCCTATAATGATTGGGTGTGTGTTCAAAAGATGCAACCACCAGATTAACACAACTTTTCATGAAAAAGTTGGTTGCTATTGGTATACAATGGTTCGCGAATGGTCATGTTGAAATCAAATGAAATATTGTTTCTCCACACCAATTGGTACAAGTTTTCTTATAAATAAATATACTTGTCAGCCATAAAAGATATATGAAAATAATATATTTCAGAGGAAAAATTTATCTAAGTCATTTCTTTATTTTTCTTGTGCGCGAGAATAAGTGAAGTAACTTTATTCTGTAAAATATTATTGATCGATATGCTTAATATGAATGTTCAATTCATGTTAAAGTTTTCAAAATATCCTGAAGGGGATTCACCGGATTACCCATTTGCATTCAATTTGGCTAAATTGGTGGAGGCAAATCGAACCTAAAACTTAGTGTAAACACATGCTTTGGAATTACTTTATGCAACTTTCATAGTATTGTCTTCACCATCTTCTTCTTGTTCATGTTTTGCAGCAGACCCCCAACATAAGATCTAACATTAAGTAGTTCCCACATTAGTCTCACCATGTTCTCCCCATATAATCACACATAATCCAGACACGCCATACCTCATAGTTATTTCTTTGTACCTCTTTTAGAAAAGATTCATTTTTGTTAAAAATATTTTTGCATGCATAAGTTAGACCTTTGTCTAAAAGTCAACAAAAATGATTCAAGTGAAAAATTTGTGACTTGAATAAAGAAATTCATCGAGACATGACTCAAGTCAAGTGAATCCTTTATTCACTTCACTATTCAAGTCAGACACATGCTTGACTCGAATCATGAAGTCTCATTTTTCCATAGTTTTGGTTCGAGAAACGTGACTTGAGTTAGCAAAAGGCTTGACTTGAATAAGGAGAAAGTTTTTATAAATTGGAATTTGGCATTAAAAGCATGACTCGAATCAAGTCCTTACATGATTCAAATCATGAAAGAGTTTTTCATTTTGGAAAAATAATTGTGAAATGTGACTCGAGTCATAGATTGGCTTGACCCGTTTCAATTAACTTGAGTAATAACTCAAATCAAACAAGCAAAGTTATAACTTTCTCATATTCATTCAATTCATTGTCTCACTTGATTTAATTATCATTTTTGCACTTGACTTGAATCAAAGTTTCATTTTACTCTATTTTAGTGCTCTATCTTTAAAACATATAAAATATAATATCTCTCTCTCTCTCTCTTTCTCTCTCTCTCTCTCTCTCTCTATCTATCTATATATATATATATATATATATATATATATATATATATATATATATATATATATATATATATATATATATATATATATATATATATATATATATATATATATATATATATATATATATATATATATATATATATATATATATATATATATATATATCATATTCATTCAATTCATTGTCTCACTTGATTTAATTATCATTTTTGCACTTGACTTGAATCAAAGTTTCATTTTACTCTATTTTAGTGCTCTATCTTTAAAACATATAAAATATAATATCTCTCTCTCTCTCCCCTTGAAGGAATTTTTTTTGCATAATTTTCACAATATTTAAAAAAGTGTTTTGTCAATCACACCAACTTTCTATTTCAAATTAACATTGAAAAAAGCTTCCTCAGAGTGTTGATTTCTTAAGTTTTTGAACAAGATTATGTGAGATTTTTTTGAATACTACATCTTCAACTTCTAGCCCAAACACTATTGTTGAGTGTTTCTCAGCTCTAAAAGAGAGTGTGAATAGTTGTGAAGTGATTCATTAGGTGTTCTAAAAAATTTGTGAAGAATTTTGTTTTCAAATTGAAGAATCAGATTGTGAATATGTTTTTTTTAAGGGGGGAATTGACTTCCATTTAAGAAAAAGAAGAATTTTTTCTTTCAAGGGTATTGGAGTTTCTAGCTCATTTAACAAGTTCAAAGGCTCAGACAACAGAATTTTGATAAGTTTGAGTGAAGATCGATGCGAACAAAATCTTGGAGTGCTTTGTTTATGAGAGGATGATTTAATTCAAAATTAAAGATCTTGAAGGATTTACAACCTAGTGAGCTGTGTATAACAGAAGGAGAATCAAAATTTAAATTTGTGTTACTTAGCAATTAGTTTTAAGTTTTTCAGTTTATCTATTATTATCGGTTGTATCAAAAAACACTTGTAATTTTTTTGTTAGTTGAAAACTCAAAAATTTTAGAAAACTTTTCAATTGAGACTAAAGTAGGTGCAAGCGAGGAAGACGTGTCAAACCAAAATAATTCTTGATGTACACTTTCTCTATCCCTTCTCTCTTTTAACTTCGGTATAAATTGTGAATGTTCTTAGATTTTAAATGTTTTCTATTTTGCATGTGATTAGGTTTATTAAATATAAATAAAGTATTGCTCGTTGTATTTTAAACAAATCCCTGAATAAACAGAAGAAATTTGGATGATAGGAGTTAGGGGATAATTTACCATCCTACTGGAGCATAAAAGTTATATGACTCAAAGAAGCAAAACTCGCATAATATAAAACAGTTAGCAAAATGACAATGGTGTTAGGAAAAAAATTATGTTTAAGGATGAACCAATTAATACCATAATTGATGAGACACTCATAAAAAGGTCAAGTAGAACAAGAACTCAATCTATTAGATTTAATAACCATGAAGTATTCCATGATACTACAATCAACGATAAAGGAGATCTAGTGGAAAGAATAAATGATTACATAAATATAACTTGTGAACTTAGAATATACTTTAAATGATTTCGACTGATTGACTGCTATGTGTTGTGAATTGATGTCGTCAATAATATAACAAAGTTATGAGATAAAGATTGAATTTTTTGAACAAATACAAATAACTTTATTAAGTTTCGCAAAGAAAAAGAGAAGAAGGAAGAAGAATAAAGAATTGGTTAATTTTGTTTTACTATTCACTTTCTCAATAAGGATTTAGAAATTACAAGTGAATACCAACAATTAAACTCTCTCACCCTAATTAGAATTTTCACCACCCTTACAAAAATTAGAGACTAACATGTTATTTATAAGAAAACTAACATATAATCTAATGGACTTTTACACACAAACTCATTACACAAGCTAACTTAGAGAACCCAGCTTAAACAACTGGACTTACAAACAAGATCAAATTCGACACACTAACTTAAATTAAAAGTTAATATATTTCGACAATATGCTCGAACAGACTTCGACTACAGCATACAAGATCAGCATGTGAACAGATTTCAACTTCATACTAAACTTTCTTTCGAATCATGAAATTACTTTTGTTGACACTAGAGTTTGATTCAAATACTACAATGATGATATCAAAGTAATTGGAAAAAAATCAACTAGGGAGCTAGTTGATAAACTAAATGGTACGAAACCTATTGATGTAAAATGGATATACAAACTAAAGATGAGGCCAAATAGGGAAATACTAAAGATGTTGAAATGTAAGCCACAAGTGACACCCGTGAAAACAAGAATCAAATTGAACAAGGAAGTGGATGAAAAATCAGTGGACTCAACATTGTATAAACAAATAATTGGCTCACTAAGGTACTAGGTACTTGTGCAATACTATACCTGATATAATCTTTCGAAGCTATGAGAATATAATCACTAGACTCGAGTGAGATTCCTGCAAGTAGGGCAAGAAGAATGAGACAGCAGCCACTTATCAATACAAACCACATGGAAATGATGATTGCATTTTGGCAGGAACCTTATTTGGTCTCCATTACAGAATTCACCTAAACAAATGACACAACTAGAAGCTGAAGAAGGAGAAGCCGAGTCATGAGAACTATATGTTGAAGTTGGCAAAGCTACCATATCTTTTTTCTTGATTCCGGAGTTCAACCTCCTAGAAGCAATCCATTGCAGAGGCTCGGTAAGTACACGACCAAGACATTGAAAAACACATTGTAACATAGTATTAAGACCAAGAGCACAAACAAAAGCACATAAAATAGCTGCCAAAAGAACCATCCAATCAAAACCAGCTACTTGTTGATGATCATGACATGGTATAGGAGATTGAGAGTGAGATTGATTTTCAGCCATGGAGATGGAAAAATAATGAGTAATGATTGAAACATAGGAGAGGGTGACACATATATGAAGAAACAAATTTGATAGTACAAGATAAGTATAACCACTAACATAAAGAGAATGTTTTAATTCATTGATTGAGTCATGCTTACTTGATAATCCACTCTTCTGTTCAAATTAATGAAGCTAATAGTAACCTTGTGAAGGGGCTTGATGCGATGGATTTCGAATGATTGAACCCACTAACAAGTAATCACGTTCTTTTGCCTTCCACTTCTAAAGTAATGGTGCGGCGTGGGGTTGCCGCAAAAAAAATACTTGTCATGTGGTAGTAGAACTAGTACTATAACATCTCACTATGTATTTGTAAGAGAAAGTTTTGTGTCATGACAACTCATTTTGTATGATAGGAATACTTTTGCACAAGTTCTAAGTAATGTGTGTGATATTGTTGAGTCAGTTTTTTCAACCATGTGTTAAAAGTAATAGAATTGCAATAACGATTCTTAAAGATGAATACTTAATTCGAAGGAAATTTTTTTATGTGGATTTCTTGCACGGCAAGCTTGCTATATTATGAAAATCGATTGGATATTGGGGGTTGACTTAATTAAGAAAAAACCTTTATAGATTTAATTTTTCTTCACTTTGGAAATTTTAAGAGTGTAAGATCAATCATTAATTGGAACTTGAAACTTCTCTTGATGTTATTTGCTTGGACATGAGACTTCAACCTTAATCTCCAATAACAATTTGTTAATTATGTTTAGATCAGAATGTATGGACTCTCCCAAAAATACTGGACACCTTGAAAGTGAGAAAAACACAAAAAGAGAGGTTGAATTATGTTTTCGTTTTCTTTCTTTTTAAAACTCATAAATCAGATTATAAACACAAGGTTATAGAGTCTGAGTTAGTTAGAGATAGATAGCAAATATAAAATGTTAGAAAGAATAATAACACACATAGTCATTCTAGTTCCTCTCACAAATCGATAGTAGTCCAGTCCCCTTGTAGTTACAAGAGGTTTTTACTATAAACACACAAGATTACAATTTTCTCAAGCACATAAGTGTTGCGGTGAGAATAGGATATCAAATTATTGATTAATTTGAATCACAATCTTGAATTCACAACCGGTCTTTGATTTATCTGAAGGAAAGGTTAAAGAAGAAAAAACTTAATTTTGCATCATGAACACAATGCGGGGAGATCTAGGATTCAGGGGTTAGTTATACCTAGGGAATGTGTTAGCATCCTAAGCATTTGTAGTACTCTACAGGAACCTCTTGTTTAAATGTGTTATTTGGTAATCTATCTGTTATCTGCCAAAGGGTTAAAGGATACCTAATGGGTTAGTCCTAAGTATACTCGCCAAGAAATCGCATCTTGTGCCTACGTATCCTAGGTAGGGGATGGAATCAGAGTATTCGTAGTTCCCCTCAAAGAGGGTGAGGAACTTCTTGACTGTGGTCAAGGTTCCAGAGGGAAGTAAGTGTTCATAGGGAGACACTTATGTGGAGTGCGGCGACTCCGAATCTACGTTGAAAAGGTTGAAAGAGGTAAAGTAGGTATCCACGACGGGAACTTACGTGGAGTACGGCGACTCTTGATCCTAAGGCTATGATGAAAGAAAAAGGGTTAATGTATGTCCACGGCGGGACGCAACTTGTGTGAGTACAGCGACTCGGATCCTAAGGTTAGGATAAGGGTAAGATTGGAGTGGGGTATTGACATGGTAGTCAGTGGGGAGTATCTTTCCTTCGGAATGTACAATGCTTGGTAAAAGAAAAAATAAGAAAAATTCTTAAATGATACAAAATGGATAACAATATGCGGATATGTAAATCAAGCACTCAGAGTAAGGTGTCAAGATCAGGATCGGATTCCAACCAGATACGTCAAAGGTTAAGTTCAAATGAATATCGAAAATAATTAAACTCGAATTAATGAATTCGTGATTAAATTAGAAGATAATGGTAAATTTGTCTAAACTTAAAATTTAAAATAAAATGACAAGAAAAACTAAACATTTCTGAATTGTTTTTATTTGTATTTTTGCTAAAATTAAATTATGAAGGAGAAGTTTTGAATTAGAACCTAAAATTAAAGATTAGAAAATAAAAATCTACAAAATTCTTGAGAAATTTAAAATTGAAAATAGTTATTTTTAAAATCTTGAAAATTCTAAGTTATAAAAGTTCTAAAACTGTTAAAATTAAAATTGAAAATTGAAAATCTAGAAATCTAAATTATTTATTATTAAAAATCTAAAATATTCTAAGGTATTGAAATTCTAGAATTAATCTAAATTACAAAAAAAAACTAAATTATTAAAAACTAAATTAATTAAATTATTTCTTTTTATTTTTTTATTTATAAAAATTTTATTTATATTTTAATTATTTTTATTGTATTTTTGTTTCTTTTTATTATTATTTATTTTATTTTTATTTTTGTATTTATTGTTTATTATTGTTTTTTTTGTTATTGTATAATATTTCTAAAAAAAAGAAAATGGGTCCAACCCATAAAACAACAAAAAAATAAAAAACTGAAAAAAAGAAAATTAAAAAAAAAAGTTGGGTCGGTGGTGGTCAGGCCCACCGGACCCAACCCGGGTCATCAACAAAAGAGGAAAAAACAGAAATAGCGTCGGGAATTGCTACAAAGGACCACAGCTACCCTCCTCGTCGGCAAGAATAAAGATAAGATTTCTAAAAAAACTTTCCCTCTTTTAGTATTAATCGTGTCTGATCTCTCATCCCCTTCTATTTGTGAAGTATGTGTGTGTTGATAATCTCTGTTGATATGTGTATGTGTATCCCCTTTATGTGGTCTTTCTTTTATACTGCCATGTATTTAAAATCTCCGATTTCGCAATTGAAAGTGAAGGATTGTTTGTCGGTTTTCTATTTTTGGAAAAAAAAATTGAACTTGTCTTCTTGTCTGGAGAACTTAATTTACCGTGATGAATGTGTTTTTTTCCTGTCTCAAACACATTCCGACACGTTCGGATTTCCTTCCTTTTTCGCGTCAACATGTTAGGTGTATTTTAGGGTAGGCATTGAATCAATCAGGAGCATGATAAAATCTTGTTTGGTATTATTTGAGCGAAGCCTTTCATTTGATATTGTTTGAAGAAAAAGAACGAGCTTTCTTGATTATGCCCTGGGTTATGAATTTGAGTTTGAAATGTCATTCTTGTTTTCTTTTGCAGTTGTTCTCCGACCTTTGTCGAATCCTCTGCGCTAAAATTCTGGTGTAACTTTGTTTGATTTGGTTTCACTCGCAAGTCTGGTTAAGGACCTATTGGTAGCAAGCACGCATGTTTCGCATAACCGAGCAAATAGGATCGGCGGCATGAAGTTGTTCTAGCAAGATAACAGGAAAGCTTCCTTTGGCATTAGCGGAAGAAAAAAGCATTGTTTACTCTCATCCATATTTGAGCCAAATGAAGACAAACCGTAGGTAACCAGAAGAATTGAAGGCCACTTAGTTTCACTTAGTTTCTCATATTTGTAGATACAATATGAACATTTGAGCTTTAATTTTAGGATTAATTTTGTAAAGAAAAAATGGACCTTGAAATTTGTACACGAAGGTTTTATTATGTCTAGCAACTTTCTTTGAGTTTGGAAATTTGGCTACTAGCATGATGTCTTCCTCTTGAATCTTGTAATACATTATTTTAATAGGTATGAAATGTGGTCATTATGTTATATTTGGGCTTGAATGAATATTTGCATTCATAACTAGCTCTTCTCTTTTGGACATAACTTGTGAATTTTCAAAGTTTGAATATTTGAGTCCTTGAATAGAACAAAACAGAATTGTAAGAAAATGATTACGTATGTTGTCTTGGACTTTATTTATGAATCCATCACCTTGTTATTAATTTTTTATATCTTGAACGGATGAAGTTTGAAATCTTGATTACATGGTTTGAATTGGGAATCAAACTGCGAATTTTAGCAATCAAGGTATGAATCTTCGTCTTGAAACTCTTGATGGCATCATCAATGAATCCGCACATCTTAAACGTCGCTTTGAGCCCTTATAGCAAAAACTTGATTCAATATTCTTACTTAATATTTGCAATTTCACAATATCAACAAAACTTCCAGTTCTATCTCTTAAAATCCGGAGAGCATAATGATTCCAAATTCCTAAATAGGAACAGGATTAAACTCGATCTTTAATTACAAATCCCCAAAAACCAACACAAACCAAACTGATGAGGTTTTAACTCCTATGATGGATTCAAACTCTTCTCATATCTCCTCTTGAATGCAAAGTACGCAATCTTGTCAAAACCATATAATACTTCATTCCCTAAATAAGCCTCTTTTTTTTCAAGTTAATAAACGGCAAACTCTAATCCTCTGAGAACTCTTAAGAAATATTGTCCTTGTATTGATGAGAACAAGGGTGTATCCTTCCTTTATGTCCCTGGGAATTCAACCATGGTTGATTGGGGACTATGAGCTCGCACAAAGCTTCTATGATTTTTGAAAGCTCTCTGCGACAAACCTGACTTCATAAAACAAAACAAATAAACCGGTTAAAGCGGTTAGCTATGCATGAATGATTGTGCTAAATGATATGCGAAAAATCAATGAATCTAAGGATAAAATTTGGGGTACGACAATAAGTAAGATACTTTTTTGCTTACACGCACAAATATATGAATTCCTTTCTCAAGAACGCAAGTCGAAGACTTCTTTCCTCAAGTACACAAGCTCAAGACTTCCTTACTCTAGCACACAAGCTAAATACTTCCTTACTCAAACCCACAAGCTCAAGACTTCCTTACTCAAGCACACAAGCTCAAGACTTTCTTGCTCAAGCACACAAGTTAAAGACTTCCTTTTTTAAGCACACAAGCTCAAATATTTCTTGTTTAAGCACACAAGCTTAAGAATTTCTTGCTCAAACACTTAGTAAGAGACTTCTAACAATCTACCTAGCAGATAAATGATTGTTGTGTGAATACATTTAATATATAATCA